CAATATGTTTGAAATGTGTATGTGTTGTATTACGATGAATTTAGGCTGATGTTCATAATGGACATCTAAGCTCCTTAGCAACGATCATTTTTCACATTTTGGCAGTGAAGTATTGCTATTTCATGTGTTCCTATTTACTGTTGAATAATTTTATTGTTTTCTTTTTATGTAAGTAGCAGTAAAATTAACACTTTTTTTCAGCGTTAATGCTTTTATGCTTTGCACGTCTCTACAATCCTGTAGACATATTTTATGTAACTTTTGCAGTTTCTGCGTTTTTCTCTTCGGATTAATTATCGTTAATCATAATTTATGTAATTATAGTTATTATTGTAGTTATTTAATTCATTAATTATTATTTTAGCTATTTGAGTAGATTTAGGTGCAGCTTTATCTAATATGTACGAGCATAATGAAATTATGTTAATTTGTTAATTATTATAATATTATATATTGTATGTATATAATATTAAAATTAAATATATTTTTGAGATAATAATTAGAAGTGCAATTATTATTTTAATTGAGTACTTTTTAATTAGCTAAGATGTTCTTCTTAAGATCAATTTAGGCTGAACCAATTTGAATGAAAACTAACACTTGAACTAACACTTGACTGCTGGATCAAATTTTGGCGAATATCAAGATGTTATACGAGTATTTTGGGAATGTTATGGCTGTTTGATTAGGTGCTAAAGGACCTTTCCATAATATTTTGTAAGAGTTTCGCTGAACTAGAAAATGTACTTTCCGGTTGGTAATTGTTATTATCATTATCTAAAACTATTACACAAACGCGTCATTTTACTTGTCTTAAGAAAGTTATTTTGATACAGAAGCTCAATATCGGAGCAGTTGTTTTGCGAATGAAGACTTATACTAATTCTTATTTTAATATTATATTTCATATTATAATCATCATATTTATTACTATTTACAATATTTTAATGAAATTATAACTTTATTGCTAAATATGTAATTATATTTTCTATTTCCATTTATTTTTGTAATACTTTAAACAACAAAAAAATAAAATCAAACAAATGTAAAGAATATTGCCGAGTATACATAAATTACTATTGAAAATCATGAATAAAGATTGTATAACAAAAAAAAAAACCTTTTAAAAGCAAATTCACGGATAAGAAATTCTATCATCTCTATTTTTAAAAGCCAATTAGTGTAAATGGCTAATAAATTGATGTTCCTGGAGGAAATTTAAATAATCTATATTATAAATTAATTTAAAGGCTTAAGTTAGAATCTAAAAGTTGTATAATTATAACAAAATATATGAAAGCAAAATATTTTTAATTTATAAAAATTTATGGGATCAAATATCACAAATGCTTTAAATTTTAATAAAAATATTAAAGATAATTATTAATTTTTTTTTTCATTTCCATTTTTAAGCAGCATTTTATTTAATAAATTAAATAAATATGAAAAAAATAAAAGAGGAAATAATATGTAGCCTTGATAAAAGTGTTCATGCTAAACGAAATGAACGGAAATTACAATAGTGATCTGAACAACTTTGAGGTTCAATTTGGTATGATATCAATATGTTAGTTGCTGTCCTAAAAATATAACATTAGAATAGCTTTAATTGTACTTTTCGCGCAAAATAACATTCAAAAATACAGAGTGGTATATATTCTATGCTTATTATGTCATTCGGCTTCAAATACATTAACGCAGTATCCTACGAATTTGACATAATCATATCTGTTTGTCATATCAAATTTTTTCCTTCTACCGTTTGTACTCGTATAAACAAGAATGTATATTACAGCAGCCGTACGCAAGTTATAAATTTTTTAATATGGGGAAAAACTGACAACGTGCAAACTAAATTATTGAAAGTTTAAGAAAAAAATATAGAAGAAAAACTGAAAAAAATCCGAGATAGATACCGAAAAAAATTTTAAAATTACTTTTAGGAAGGACGATCTAACAGAGTGCAGAAACTGAAATAAAAATAATGATTAAACAATGTTAAAAAGAAAAGTTGGGAAATTTAGTGCTGCAATAAAAGGAGAACAGAGAGAGCTGAGATTGTACCGAATATGCGAACTTATTAAAATTCTAAAAACCTAAAATTAAAATATTTGGTTACTTAGTATTCAAAAATCTTATTTGAACTTCACTTGTTAGCTCACCTTAGCATGCTCTTAAAACAATCAATAATTTAGAAATTTTATTATATTGATTTTAACTTTATTGTTTAGAACTTCGACCCAAAAAGAAAACCCAATTAAATTAAATACTCCTTTATTGGTGTTGCTTTAACCACTACATTTACTATATTTTCATTTGCACTCATTATTTTACCAAGTGTCAACTTAAACCCATACATATTAATTTTATGACATTAATATAGCTTAAATGAGTTATTGTTATGTTCTTTCTTAATATTAAGGAATTCTCGTCTATATTATGTAGATGATTCAACAAATATTTGAACTCTTGCTTCAAATATGCTTATGAAATTCCTTTTTCTTCCTTTTATATTTTCTTTTATTCTGAAATGTATAATAATTCTTTAATTATAATTTCCATATAAAGTGGATATAAATTATTATTAAAAATTTATGTTACTATAATAGCTTAATTATTCCGCACATACTCTTTTAATATAAATTTATTAAGATTAGTTTGGTTTTGAAACACATATGTATACGGAGGCAGAGGTTATTTATTAAAATTAAAAAATAATATTAATGCAAATTGTATGCCTATATACTTCAGTAAAAAATTTTTAATTTAATTTCTTCTTTGAGAACTTCATTCGCAGAGCTAATTAACATTAACACTCAAAGTAATTGCTTAATATTTCATATTTTATAGCAAATAAATTTCTTATTAGCTACTCCACCTTTTTATTGTGAACTTATTTTTATATGTATATACGAGTTTGAATCTTATAATTTTTCCTAGACAAAATTTTAAATTATTAAGTTCAAGTTCTGGTTAGTTGTATTATAATACTTGAATACAGTGGTAATTGTTAAACTTTTGTTGTTGCATAGGAAGTTTTAGTAAAATTGGATACTATGAAAAATATAAATTTATATTAACCGTGTACCTTTTCTTTTGTTGAACTAGAAGAGATAGAGCGATTCTAAGTGTTTTTTGTTGTGATCATCAAGAATGCATAAAATCAGCTAATGTATGATAATAAGTTGTAGAAAGAAACTATATATGTGTCCTATATTTTTACTAACACTTATACCGTCACCAAGTTGTAACTAAAGCTCATACAATCTACATACATGCGAAAAAATGAGTTATTACAATACTATTATGAAAATACGGGATGAATTCCTTACTTAAAAATGATTGAAAAAGTGTGATTTACTTAAAGAATGCTTGGTGTGCTACATTTTGCCTCTTTTTAATTCCCATATAAAGTGGATATTGTTATAAATGATATTTTCGATACTATCAAAGGTTAATTAAGCGGCACATATACCCTTTCAATATAAATTTATTTATAGTTTATTATGTAGGTTTAGTTTTGACATAATGTATATTCATCATGCTATAATGTGTCTATTATGCAATATAAAGAAATTATTAGTCATGCCATGTGCTTTAATAAAGTAATTTAGAATTAATAATATTATTATTAAACACCGATGTATTTACCACCACCGAGAACGCACGCATTCTTCAATACATCGGTGTTTATTTTCGCCTTTCGAAATTTCATTTGCAGATCTAATTATGACATTAACATTCAAAATAACTAGCCTAGCAATACCAAATAATTAGATTTATACAAATTTTTCCTACACAAAATCTTAAATTATCAAGTTTATTAATATAAAATAATTTTAGCTTATAGACCTATTATATGTAGAATTTGATAAACACTTCACAGAATACTCAACATTCTATACAATTACCTAGTCCCTAAGTTATATTACATTTTATGGTTAGAAACGATCTACTGAATATTGCTGATTACGAATTTAGGGTTTTTTTTTTCTTCTGCGTTATTATGACTTTTTTATTTAGTAAAATTCTGTAATCATACTGTATCAAATCGTTTAAGCCACTCTTTTTAAATGATACTGCATTCAGATTAAAAGCATATCATATAATGAATTTTCTATACAACATGAAGTGTTTTATATAAAATAATTAGCTTTCAATTTCAATAAAAAATTGAAACGAAAATTAAAACGAACATCAATCAAACATTTTTTATGTTCATGTTCGATATCAAACAATACAAAACCAAAAACAAAAAAGAGAAAAGCAAACACTATTCACATTTGTTTTTTGAATGAATTTGATAGCGATGCACGCAAAGTAAAATAAAATTTTGTTTTTATTTTTTTACAAATTTTAGTATCCATTGAGAGTTAGGATAGTAAAGAAGTGATTGTTGCCAATCAGTTTAATAAAATTTTAGTGTAATGTGTAAAAGAACCGCGTAAATTATTACGTTTTGAATTTTTGTTTTTCGTTTTCATTTAATTTTTTTTTTTAGTTATGTTAACATTTTGATTAATTACATATGAATAACATTTTCTTTTACATAGAGTAGTGAAAAAATAAGAATTTATTCAAGAAAAATATTATAAATAAATCATTTTAACGCATTTTGTTGAAATGAAATTGTATTTCATGTAAATTAGTGCAACATAATATTACTCGTATATAAGAAAGAATATTTTAAATAAAAATATGTAATATAATATACAAATATATACGTATATCAATATATATGTATGCATATAAAATATTCATTTTGTTATACATATTAATTAAAATGTGTGCAAATTTATATATGATTGGCATTTCCTGGATTATTGTCGTTGATTACGTTTAATTATATAATATCTATATAGATAGACTATAGGTACCTTAATATACACATACTTATATACAAACGAAAATAATATTCTTAAAATATACATATACATACATAAAGTAAAACAAATTAAAAAGGAATACTTAGCATTAAAATTAGTTTTGAATAAAAAGTGATGAATTATTTTGATCTTTTGAAAAAGATTGAATTTGATAATTAAAAGAAGAAAATTTTGAAATAGGTACTTTGGAATATCAACCTAGTAGGATGATGACATTAAAAATGAATAACTTAAGAATGTTTTCTTATATCAATTGTGGAAATAATAATCGAATTTGGAAAACAGTTTACATAATGCTAACAGGTAAGGAATTTACATTTTATTGCATAAATTCTATGTTCTAGAACTTTGTATTTGGAATAATTAGATATTATAGCACTTAAGGATTAAAGCAACATTTTCATTTAAAATAGATAAGGCATTAGAAATTTGTGAAAAGCAGTTAATATAGGCCATTTATTTTCTAACAGTTAGAAAATATTTAAAATGTTCAAAAAATTTTTTTTCGGATTAATAAATATGGAGTTGAATCCGGTACTATAATGATACTAAAACAAATTATCTTTAACTTTCTTTAAACATTTAAAATATATTAATATTTATAGGCGCATTTTTAGCCCAGTTCCTTAAAAGTTTTGCATTCTAAAACTAAGTTATTACTGAAAGATCATTTTGTTTTACGTAGGTGTATTTATGTATTTTAAATTTGAGATAATAAGAATACAATAAATTTTTTATATACAGGGTGCTTCGTATAAGGTGGAAAGTTATTTCACGGATGATTCTCTGATCAATTTGCAGCAAAACATTGTGAGAGAGAGGGGTGGGGTGGGGTGCGGCAGATATATGCGTTTTCGTTTGTTGAAAAATAAATGTTAAAAGATTTTTCTTGCAGATGAAGGAATACTTATAACTTCGGAACCATGCAACATAGAGTAGCCATTAGAGGCCTATATAAGTAGACATGTTAAGCCCGATTAAAAATTTTTGTTGTGAGTAAAATTTTATCAAGTCTAAGTAGTGGAAAGAAATTTGGTTCGTATTATGAATATCCCAATGGCATTTATTTTTTCATAGACTTCACTAAAAGTAAAGAAATTTAAAACTGTAATTTCAGCGACTAACCGTTATAGGTTATAGAGTTATAGATTTGTGAATATTCTATACACTTTTGTTATATTTATAATAGATTTTAAAATATAATTTTTTTCATTTATATTATAAGTGTAGCTTGTAATTAAGATGCATTAATGAATGATATTTTCATAATGAATTTAATTTAAAAAAATATCAAATTACATAAATATTTGCTTATATTGTATATAAGTATTAACTAGCTACATTGATTCAAATAGGAGGAAATTTAATCTTCTTAATTGATCTTACGGACAATTTTATAAAATTTTGCTAGAAAAAGCTTATTCTGTAATATAAGGATTCCCATTAAATTAAAGTACGTTCTATATAATTATAAACTATATGTAAGTATATAATATTAGATTCTAATTGATTAAACAGATGTTAAAAATTTATACTCATAGTATGAGATTATAAAGCATGCCGGTAATTTTACTTTTGTTATTTTCCCATTTACTTTCACATTGTATACTTACAAACTTTTTAAATTTTTTTTTTTAGATTATAAAATGTATAACAAGAAGTATAATGAGAGATAGTTAAAATAATGCAAATTTTTCTTTATTGCCGTATACTCACATAATATTTTCTATATTTAAGTATACCGGTTATAAAAAAAAAAAATTAAGTCTGAAAATTTTGCAGCTTTAAATGACTGACAAGAAAAAGAAAAAAAATAAAAATTATAGAAATTAATGTTATGAACGAACATTGGACAATAATCCATCATAAATGACAATAAAATTAGCATATTAAGGTATAAGTGTAGGTAATAATAATCAATAAATTCTTTATTTATCATAAATAAAATTTTTATAAAATTTCTCAATAATTATATAGTAGCTTTGTTCGGAATTTTATATTTTAATATCACTACATTTTATACAGAGTGTATCATGCAATACATAACTGATTTGACTTGTACATACAAGTTTCCCATAAAATCGCAATTATACGCATAATAAAATGTTTTAAGCTCAACATTCCTATCATTTTAAGTATAATAATAAATAAGTAGTTCTAAATAAATTATAAGTTAAAATTAAAATATCAAACTAGTAACTTATGCATATAGAGTGTAATTGACAGATAGTGCCTATTCAGAATATTCCTACATGAGTGTCTAATATTAAGTCCATTTAATCCAAGAAAATTTATATTTTTCATATGAATGGCTTATTTAAATAAATTTAATTCAAAAATAAAGAGAAATTATTACTTATGCGCAAGTCACGAATTACTTATATAAAACAAGAATTGAATAATATTGAAATCAAGTTAATTAAACTATAAAGCTTGTATTTATAATTTTTAAAAGGATATTTTAAATCTCTTTTACCTAAATGTTATGATAATTATAGAAATATCATAGAAAGATTTGAACTGATATACTTAATAACAAAACTGGTATTTGATAAGGACTTGAATTCTAGCTATACTTATTTACTTGCTATTTATTTAAAATTTATATGTACATCCATATATTTAGAGCAATTATTGTACTTAAAATTGCACAAAAATATACTGTATTAATTCACAATTCAGCTTAAAATTGTTTAATTGTTGACTTGCAGAATGTTCATCGAAATTACAATTTTTAAATGAAGAATAAAAAATATTTGTCCAGTGTTATAGTAAAATTTCAATAAATACAATTTCAATGAATAAATTTTAATTACATAGCAATCGAAATTTTTAAAATTAAAATTATCAATGAATAATGATGGTGATTTTAGCTTTCCGATTCTATGTACATATGCAAACATCCAGAACTATGTAAGTACTTGTATGTTGCTGAAAATAATCATATTGGCATCTAACTTGCATGTTAATAATAATTTTTTCTCAATTTGCAATCATAGATAACAGCACGAAGCCCATATATTGGTGTAATACGTTTCTTAAATTGCAGCTTATATAAACAAAATAACTTAATTGATTACCTGAGTACAATAAGATTCTTTAACAGTATGCTAATGAATATTACCACCAAATATTTAAAAAAGAAAACAAATAAAATTATTGTTTGAAATTTTTATATTGACTTACACTACGTAAATATTTTACGTACCTACTTATATTTAAATTGCAGTTTACCTTCAAACACCTTTTACTTATACATAACAAAGAATTGATTTATTTCCATACTTCTATATACAAAAATTAATAACATATTTATTAGGAACTTTATGCACGATGTAACAACAGATTTAAGAACCCAAACCCACTTTTTTCACAATATTAGTGTTAAATATCGAACAAACATAAAGTTTTTTTTGGGTCATTTAATATTTTAGGAATTCAAGGCTGTAATGCATTTAAATATAAAATGTACCAAAAATTATAACGTGCTACTGCAGGTATTTATGGTTAAAAAAAAACTTTTAAAATATTTTTATTATACCAAACAAACAATAGTTGATGTTGAAACTTAATTGATCCTACTACAATGAATATGAATTTCATTCAACATTTTCTATATTTTCTATATTCCTATACATATATGTTTCAAGCGAAATTTAATAGAGGATTCCAAATTAAGGGAATCACTAGTATGATACATATCTAATAATCACTAGTGATATTAGTCGCATAAATATATTGTACCACAATAATCGGAAATAAATTTGTGTTCATTATAGATCAAGTCATCACATAAAAATTTATTAAAGCCGTGTGATCACTAAATTCGTAATAATATTACAATTATTCTAATATTTATTATAACTGTAAAATAGATTTACTTATAATTCAAAAATTTATAATATTGACTTTTAGAGTCATCAAGAATATAAATATGTATATATAATTATGTCTATAAGTACTTAGTGTTTTTTTTAAAGCGTTGCTAACGCAATGAAAAATTTATAACAACTTTCAAATATACGTTCATACGTTCATACGGGTATAAAAATTTTAATTAATGTTTACTAATATCGAATTTAACTTTATTTAAACGAATAATTAAATTTTTTTGTATACACAATAATTGGCAACATAATTTTATATGTAACACACTAATATTAATACATATACATACATTCTAATGTAAAAACACAAAAGTGATTATATTAGCTAAAATATTATGGATATTTGGCATTTCCGTTGCTTTCATCTTGCCTGTGTTATAAAAGAAATACAATCGTTTTCATTTGTAATTTATTTTTCCGAAATTTCCACTTTTCTACATGCACATAGGTACATGTAGCTATAATATATTGTAGTTCATAAAATACTCGTATGTTACGTTTTGTATATATTTTTCTCATATATAATATTTTGATTTAATATGTTCTATACATAGCTCGATTGCTGCTAAACTGTAACAACTCAAAATTCTTTAATTTTCACTATACCTTCTTAAAATTTTGTGGTTAATTTTGAAAAATAGGTACAAGTACGAGATCGCAGTTCATAAAGAGAAAAAATATACGAAAATATTAAACATTAAGTATACACAATATTATACTTTGAATTACACACCATAATAATAAAATAAAAAACCTATAATTAATAAAAAAGCACCCTATGACGAGATTCACCTGATATAACAAAATTATGTTTTCTCTATCAAAACTTAGAAATTTTTTCATTAGGAAAATATGGGTTTTCTTTAAGATGAAGAAAAAAATTCAACATTAAATTTAATACCTTTAACTGTAAATTTGCATCTTTTGAGTTCTTACACATTTGCAGCAAGTGGTTTACATTTAGTTATTAATAGATTTAATATTCATTTAGCATAGATTTTATTAAATATTGTGTAAATGTATGTTGTATTTTAATATTCTCTATAATATGGGCTCTTCTACAATTTTTACTCGTTTTATAAAATTTATAAAAGAATAAAAAAAAAATACAGGAATTTCCTAAGTATTTAAAAAAGATTTTCATAATATTTTGTTTATATTTTTGAGGAAAATTCTATTGATCATCCTAGATCATTTTTTGAATACACAATAGCATATTGATATGAGTACATACTCATATACCTAATATACTTATACATTATAAGCACAATATCTCTATGACACGTATGAATACCTATATACATACTTATATGTATATATGAAATTTTTATAGAATCAACAAAAGATTAAAATTATTAAAATTTATTAAGACATAAAATATGAAGGAAATATAAAGTATATATATATACAAAATTA